AAAAAATTATTAATAAAAAAAAAATCCTTGGTAGGCTCCTGCTTGTCCCAGCCCCTCCCTGCGGGGGTCTCGGCCCTCACAGGACCCAGAATTAGTCTGTGATCTTGTTCACACCAGCTGAGCAGAAAGCCTTCCAGTCTGCATGGCTCTCACTAGCTTAGCCAAAGGGACACTGCAGGCATCGACGCTGGGGACAGCCACCCAAACCGCTGCTGATCAGCATCTTCCTCCACTGACCAACCCCGCTGGGCAGTCCCAAGGACACCAAACTGCTCGGGTGTTTATGAAAATAAGTGACTCAGACCAAATGAAACATGTAATAAAGCAAGAGAATGTGGGAACTACAGAAATCCAAAGTATGTGAGCAAGGTGCTCAGCCTTAAAGCAAAAATGGAAATGTTAAAGCCAGAGGTTCACACGCAGAAAAGCAAGGGGTATACACGCTGACATTTTTCCCAAGTGCTCAGTACCTAGGACAAAGCAACCCGTGGAACACACAACAGCCTTTTCTAATTTTAAGTGCTAATACACACAAAATGCTGGTTTTGCCCTTGAATATTTTGTAGTGTTTTTTTCCCCCAATATTCTGATCAAACCATCATTCCCAGAAGAGCTAAACAGTCAAGTTTTAATAAAAATACAGCAGATTGGTGAATTCGCTTTTTCTGATGACATACACTCACTAAATTTGAGCAAACCATAAAGCACCCTGAGTGTTTGCTGACTGACCCAACAAACTCACAGCTCCCACTGTGAGTCGTGTGCACCCCATGAAACGCATACCTTGTTTTAAACAGAAGTCTGTGGAAAACGTCCGTTCACCCTCCGGTGAACACGCACTACAGCTGGGCCCACACCCACCCTCAGCACCGAGGCTGCTTGGCTGCTTTTGGACATGCTCCATCCAATCCCCCATTTTATTTATTTATTTTTAAAGATTTTATTTATTTATTTGAGATAGAGCAAGAGAGAGAGAGCACGAACAAGATGGGGGGGCAGAGAGAGAAGCAGACTCCCCGCTGAGCAGGGAGCCCGATGTGGGGCTCGATCCCAGGACCCTGGGATCATAACCTGAGCCGAAGGCAGATGCTTAACCAACTGAGCCAGCCAGGCGCCTCTCAAATTCCCTATTTTAAAAAGATGCCTAAAATCTCAATAACCAAAAACCCCATGTGCACACACACTCTGGAGCGTGTTTGCAATTTCAGGAAAAAGGAGTAAGTTAGAGAATTAGGACACTGGCTGAGAAGTGTTGGTCACGGGTCACACCTTCTGATTCCTGCCCACGACCAGTACACCTCTTGTCACGTTAAAGACAAGAAAACATCTTTGAGGAAACAGCATAAAACCAATCTGCAGAAGAAACACCACCGCGATAGGGAAGTGGTGTGGCTAGGGGGCACCACGCGGGGGAGGCGGGGTCAGGGGTCAGAGGTGGACAGGCCCCCCAGGCTGCTTCACATCAGCCTGCCTGAGCGAGGGGACAGCGAAGCTCCCAGTCCTGCTCAGAGGGAGGAACCCTCTCCCCTTAGAGGGCACGGCAGTAGACGCCGGAGGCTTCTCCCAGCCCCACGGACCCCGAGAAGCAGCTCCCCATGGGCTCCCTGCCTCTTACTCTGTATGCTCCTCCCACTGCTCTCGGAGCACAGTGCCAGGGAGGAACCAGTTCATTTCCTGCTCCTTCACCCTCCGCAGCTCAGGGCCGCATTTCCCCAATTCAGAGCCCGTCTGCTCCCTGCAAGGGAGGGGCCGGGACATCAGGGCCGGGCAGAGGGGCACACAGGAGAGGGCGGACCCTGGGGCCACAGCGGTCCTGAGCGGCCCCCTTCCCCGGCCATCCCCCGTCCTCCCGGCAGCTCTGCACAATTCCAGGCCCGAGTCCCAGCCTGGGTAAGCCAGCACCTTTCACGGTTTGCGCTGCACCCAAAATTCAGCTCATGTTTTAAAAATGTCTCAGATGGGGCACCTGGCTGGCTCAGTCAGCAGATGAGGCGACTCTTAGAGTTCGAGCCCCATGTTGGACGTAGAGATTACTTTGAATGAATGAATAAATAAGGACTAGAAATACATTTGCAGGAGCGCCTGGGTGGCTCAGCTGGCGAAGCGTCTGCCTTCAGCTCAGGTCATGATCCTGGGGTCCTGGGATCAAGCCCCGAGTCGGGCTCCCCACTCAGGGGGGAGCCTGCTTCTCCCTCTCGCTGTCCCTCTGTGCACTCTCTTGCTCTCTCTCTCAAATAAAATCTTTAAAAAAGTCCCAGAGGAACATATAAGTATCGGGGGAGGAGGTCCTCACTTAACTTTCGGCATAGGACAACCTCAAAGGAAACTCGGTTTTTACTGTCTTATTTCAGGAAGCTCCAATTATTAAGATCTTAGGCCTCAGGAAAACAAGCCCTTTCCTGGTGAAACGAGGACTGTCCATGGAATTGGAAGAGGTCAGTGTCAGCCCCGCAAAGGCGCGTCCACACAGTTCCCGGCCCCCACGCAGAAAGGGCTTGGCAGCGGGAGGAGTCCCTGCTTCCGAGGGGGCGAGTCACGTTGGCCCCACTACGAAACCATGCTCAGAAGCAACCGGCTCACAGGGGATTTCCAGATACCACTCTCAGAGACCCCAGGTTGCTAAAAGCTCTTAAAACCCACAAGTGTGGAAAGACAGACACTTTTTATTCGGTAACTTCATCTAAATCAGGGGTTGCCAACTACAAATGCAGCTTGAGGACTGTTTTTGCAAAGGAGGCTTGCCGGGCACGTAGCTGCGTTCCCTCGTGTGCACCACAACCCGGACCGCAGCGCCCACACAAGCTTCCCAGACACTGTCTCATGACCCTGAATACCTTTAGTCCTTGTAACAACAGGTTTCACAGGTAAGAAACAGACACCAATCGTGCTCATGTTTCTCGCCCAGGGCCCCAGATCTACGAAGAAAACACACTGACCAAATCTCAAACGACTTCCCATCAAAGCCACACCTGGAACCTTGCACCCCGCAGGTGTGGATGTGGTTGGTGACCCTGCCACCTGCCCAGGACACGCCCCCCGCATCAGGGCCCTCCCAGCCTTGGGCTCCAGCCATGGCTGGGCTTTCCTCACGAGGCCTGGATGGCTGCTTACAGTTTGTCACATATTCGAGTGGCTTAGCCTCAAACCCAGGACGTGAAGCCTTCACGGGCCAGCGTCCTGCAGAGCCGAGCCCCAGTCCTGCTGGTTCACAAGCCTGCACTGCGCACGGATGTCACAGCGACTCCAGTAACCAGCCGGACGGAGCCGCGTGCATCCGCAGGGCAAACAGAGGGTCACTGGAGGGGAATCCTCCATGATCCCGTTATTAAGGTGTCTGCGACAACAGCTGGAGTGCGTGCTCCCCAAGAGGATCCAGTGCCTGTGGCAAGGGGCCAGGATCATTCGGGCACCCAAAGCATCACAGGTGAAAATGCCCTTGCTACTTTTCTCTTCCGTGGAGAAAGTCCGTTATTTGCAACTCTGCAGCTACTTGAGCATCTGGTAGACAGCAGTCCCACGGATTAGTGGTAATGACCTCTCTCTGCAAATTTATACAAGCAGACTTCCTAGCCGGGGGCTCTTCCTTGGCCCTTTGTTCTGAAGCATCCAGTGACGATTTTTGTGCAGGTAGGTTGAAAAAGCAAGAGATCAATGATTGATACATGGAAGAAAGATGGTGGCGAGAAGGAAAAGAGATGAAGGGACACACAGGACGGACCCAAGGGCTGGCTGTACACACAACTCTGCTCTCCGGGACCGCTCCCCGGGCTCCGCCCCCAGCTGACCTACGGTCAATGCCACGATGTCACCATGACAACACGGGTTCTCCATCATCTTCCATCAGTTCAGGCTGAAGGATTGATCCAGGATCACCCTGGATCTGCAATGAGCACACAGCCTTCAGGGTAAAACGGTAAATCTGAGGCACAAGGCTGTCTGAGAGGAGCCATCCTCCCCATCACGTGTCTAAGTGCGAGTTTATTTAACGTCTGTGGTGCCCCAAGGACCGTCCCGCAGCTGACAGCAGGTTGGTGAATGCTCACTCACCGCAGAAGCGAGGGACCATGCTAATGTCCTGGGACACCAACCACAGGACCCCGTGCTCAAGTATTCGCCACGTACAACCCAAATGGTGTATTTCCATGCTTCTGAGCTCGAGACACCTGTCCACCTAACACCCTTTCATTTCAGGAGTAAGGACACAGGACAGAAAAGTGCAGAAATCATCTCTCTCCAGTGAGGAGAAAATAAAAGTGATCTTTTGAAATACTTTCCACTTTATCAAAAGTATTTAAATTATTATCCTTAAAGAGGCTCTTTAAGACTTAAAATTCAGCAGGAGAAATTAAATTCATGTGTTCTGTTACAAAGAGAAAAGATTTGCAGACAAGTCTTAAATTTAAAAAATGAAAACCCAAGGAAAGCCAAACCACCAATACGTAGCTGAGATCACTCTCCTGTTCCCCAAAGGAAGCATCCTCTTATTCATACCACAGCCCGGACTTCCAGGCAAACCTCAAGTCCTAGAAAAGGGAAGGTCAAGCAAATGCCAGACTGAAGTGGACACCGCAGGGCCCCTGTCTGTCCGACTGGACCTCACTCCGTAAACTCGGGCCCCCTGGGGGTCTGTGCAGAGCCACCCGCCCTGTGACGCCTGACCGAGATGGGAAAGCGCGGACAGCCACGGGGTCTCCAGGTGGCCGGACGTGCCCCAGAGTGCACGGCATGCCATGAGCTACCTCCACGCTGGGATCATTCAGGGTAAACAGACCAGCCTAGCAGGATGCTTTCCATTCCTGGTGTCAGGACTATTTCTTCTTTTGAAGCTGGAATGAATGCTTTATGTAACAAAGCAATCATTCCCATGTTTGGAATTTCACGGCTGTCAGGAACCTTCCTAACGTCCCTCTAAGCTGATGGCTTTATAAGGTATAGGGAGTACCCTGGAAGGCACTCTCCCTCTGGGCCAGCTGCTGAAGGCATGTTAGCCAGCTCTGTGCTGAGCTCTTCTTCATGCAGAAGAGACTGTGACATCCGTGCATGCACCCACCTGCTCAGGGAGTGGAAGCAGGTGGACCTGGGACCCTTCTGTCTGTGGCAACGTGGTCTCATTGCTACCATTCTTTTGGGCCCATGGCCACGTCTTGTCTCACTAAGGGCAGGGAATGAGGGAAGACATATACAAACTGTTGCATCCAAGAAATGGCTCTTGGTCGTAACATGAGATACATCACCTGGAGGGAAATGCTTGGTGCCACTGAGCCTCAGGAGATGGCAGGGTGCATGTCTGCAGGCGACTCCGGACAAAGCAAACCGGCCACGTGCCGGGCCAGCTACTTCTCCAGACGGTCAGGCATGGTGATGCAAGCCCGCCGCTCCTCCTCCTTGAAGCGAGGAGCCACACCGCCCTCCCCATTCGGGTGGACTACAACATAGCACAGAGTCACCCTGACCTTCAGGAGACCCAGAATCTGACCGGAGCCGTGCTACTGCTCAGCAAGGACCCCCCCGCCCCAACTGTGGCTCTCACCTGCACCCAGTCTTGACCTCAGAACTTCGGAACACCACGCAAAGGGTCCAGAGTTTTATTCCCATTCCTTCACCCAGCAAATATTTATTAACACCTACGATGGGCCAGGCAATCAGCAGAGGGTAGTAAACAGCCCCACCACTAAATGTTTGCTCAATGAAAGATTAGGTAAATAACAGTTCTGTTTTCACTTTTGAAACTTTTTTTTTTAAAGATTTATTTATTTGACAGAGAGAGACAGCAAGAGAGGGAACACAAGCAGGGGGAGTGGGAGAGGGAGAAGCAGGCTTCCCGTGGAGCAGGGAGCCCGATGCGGGGCTCGATCCCAGGACCCCGGGACCATGACCTGAGCTGAAGGCAAACGCCCAGCGACTGAGCCACCCAGGCGCCCCTCACTTTTGAAACTTTTTTAAAGGTCAAAACAGGGGCATCTGGGTGGCTCAGCTGGGTTAAGCATCCAACTCTTGGTTTCAGCTCAGGTCATGATCTCAGGTCATAAGATCAAGCCATGTGTTGGTTGGGCTCCCTGCTCAGCTTGGAGTTGGCCTGAGACCCTCTCCCTCTGCCCCTCCCCGCCGCGCGCGCGTGCTTGCTCGCTCCCCAAAATAAATAAATAAGTCTTTAAACAAACAAACAAAAAGTGAAAACAAAGTAGTGACGAAGTTAATGATTCCAATGACATTCTTAAATTGCCCCATCTGGCCAAGTAATGGAAAACAAACTATAGACAGAGTTTGTTAGAAAGAGTGAGAATGGCTGAATACGACCTCCCTCTTGTCGGCGTCAAGAGACAGAATGTGCCAAGATTTTTAAATCATTTTATCTTCAAATTATAAATATGCATACATGTATACACATACATATATACAAACGTTTATTTATTTTAATCCTGTTTTCTAAAATAATGGCTCAGTTCTAAAAACGACTGCTGTTAATTTGAAGGATTGGGGGGTGGGGAGGAGAAAGGAGGGCAGATATACTGGAAGACGTGTGATAGACTAGTTATTTCAGATAATTTTATAGAATCATTATTTCTCTTTGTGAGACCAATGAGCTGTAGGAGTTCCTGCAGCAAATATGCTGAGGCTTCCTGTGTGCAAACTCATTTGCAAGCAAAGCCAAAAATACCGAGCTGTTGGGAATAAAACATCTGGATACATCTGGATAGTCCCAGCACATAATCCCAGCACATAATATGTGGCAATTATTAAAAATACATGTTATTCACTGAGGCTGTTGGAATCAAGAAACCTCTGCTGGATATTTGAGTACACAGGTGTTTAAAGTTAATTTTTTAATCTTTACAAAGTAACATGTGTTGGCACCGTATATCCCAATCATAGAGGAAAAAGGAGCACAAAGAAAGACAGAAAAAAACCCACTTCATATAAAATAAGAAAAAATAAGCAGTAACCAAGTAGTCTAAATCAAACTATAAAACTGGCTTGCACGTGGGGTCATGTTGCAGGTTAGCTTGCAGAGCGAAGCAGCTCAGAGAAGCCAAGGGTCAGGGTGGAAAAGTACAAAAGTGAAGCTATACTTCCCTTCCACACCTGCTACATGCCAGGCCGTGTTCCCGGACCTGGCAACAGCAGAATACAAAACATAAAACCCTTGTCCTCACGGCACATGAATTCAAATTCTCCCACGGTAACAACTTCTCCATCATCCACATGCCATGCGTCAACCACCTGCATGTCAAGCTCCACCATTGCTAAAGACTGGTCACCACACAGAAAGTGAGATTATTAGGAGGGAAAATTTGGAAGGAAGCCTGCATGAATCTTGATTGCTAAATGAGCTAATATGAGATTTGGATGAACTGCACAAACCTACCATGAACTTTCAAGAGAGAGTAAAAAATATTTCCAACTGAACAAAAATGAAAAACAAAATGTGTGCAATATAGCCAAAGGAGTGATTAGTTGCACACTGACCACATTAAAGGTTTCTATCTGAAAAGAAAGGTCTCAAGTCACTAAGCTTCGAGCTTAAGAAAATAGAAAAAAATATATATAAATAAACCCAAAACAAGTAAAAAGCAAAGAAATAATGAAAGCCAGAAATCAAAGAAATTAAAAACAAAAAAAGAAAAATGAGTCAAATCAAAAGCTTACATAGAAAATCCCAAGGAATCTACAAAATTTTTTTTTAAAGATTTTATTTATTTATTCATGAGAGACAGAGGAAGAGAGAGAGAGAGAGAAGCAGAGGGAGAAGCAGGCTCCCCGCCAAGCAGGGAGCCCGATGCGGGGCTCGATCCCAGGACCCTGGGACCATGACCTGAGCCACCCAGGCACCCCGAATTGGATGCTAATTTTTTTTTAAAGATTTTATTTATTTGACAGAGAGAGAAAGCACGAGCAGGGGGAGTGGGAGAGGGAAAAGCAGGCTCCCCACTGAGGAGGGAGCCCGATGTGGGACTCGATCCCAGGACTCTGGGATCATGACCTGAGCCGAAGGCAGACGCTTAACCATCTGAGCCACCCAGGCTCCCAGGAATCTACAAAATTAACTTCTAGACTTATTAACTGACTTTAGCAAGGTCACGACATACAAAATCAAATCATATTACTATATACTAGCAACAAATATTTAGGACTAAAATTTTAAAAACATTTTACAGTTACGTATCATTCACAGTCGCTACATAAACAAGAAGTATTTAGCTATAAATCTAACAAAACATGCAAAATGTGTATGGGATCTGTAGGATCATGGAGAACCTGTATGCTGAGAAGTACAACATGGGGAAGAAAGAAATAAAAAAAGATCCATACAGATTGAGACACACGCCGTGTCCACGGAATGGAAAATTCAGCATAATAAAGATGTCAATACTCTCCAAATTAATGGATTGATTGGACGTGATCAAATTAAAATCCTAGCAGAATTTTTTTTAGATAAACACAAGCTAATTCTACAAGTTATATGAAAAGTCACAAGAACTACAATAGCAAAAAATTGATAGAGAATAAAGTTGGAGGATTCATACTACCTGATTTATCACAAAATTAACAATAATCGAAACAATGTGGTATTGGCAAACAGACCTACAAATAGACACAAATATGACTAATTGCTTTTTGACAAAGGTGCAAAATGAATTAAATAGAGAAAGAAGAGTTTTCATCACGGTGCTGGAATAAATGGACATCTATATGTAAAAAAAAAAAAAAGGACTCTCAACCTAACCCTCACAGCTTCTACAAAAGTTAACTCAAAATGGATACTAGATCTAAATGTAAAACAAAACTAAAATTTTAGAAGAGAACACAGGGGAAAATCGTCATGAGTTTGGGTTAGCAAAGAATAGAAGCATTAAAAACAAAGTGGACTTTTTCAAAATTTAGAAATTTGTTCTGAAAAAGGCACTCCTAACAGAATAAAAACTAAGCTAGTGACCAGGAGAAAGTGTTTTCAAACCAAACTTCTAACAAAGGACAGACGGCATCCCCATGAAGAACCTGGCAAAGGCTTGAACAGACCCTTCCATGGTGTGGATAAGCAGCTTGCCAATAAGCAAAAGAAAACTC